AAGCAAGAAAAGTTCAGCAAGGGATTCAATGAAAAGGCAAAAATCAACTTTACAGGGAGAAGCCCATACATGAGATGACAGCAATGATGAGAAGGCAGAAAAATTCCAAGCACTGGACCCAGGGAAAATCTTAAACCTCTCACAGTTGATGCAGTAGCAGCTAAAGGTTGAAGAGGGCACAGAAATCTGCAGAGATTTAAGACCGCATTTAAGACCGCAAAGAAAAGTCATAATGATCATGGATCATTCTTTAACCTCAAAAATTAAGAATGACATGAATACAAGAATACACAAAATTACAACCAACAAACTGCTACAGATATATAATCTCTCATCAAACTACATTAACTGTGGCCAAATATGTGATAGATGCACAGTACTTGTACTTGAGACGTCTGTAATAAAAATGGTGTACTGTGATTGATCCAAGGACTTTGTTAGAAAATCACTCGCAAGGCTTTCAAAAGACAAGCCTAGCTGTTCCTCAGTACAGTATCACTGATCTTTGTGGGGCTGGTCTAACACGTTTTTGGCTGCACACGTAATTGCTAATTAATGGGATGTTCATTAAGTAAAGTCTGCACTGCTCTATTTTGTTCTGTTATTACATGAAAGCCATGCTGCAATTGTCTATTCTAATTTATCTTAAAATGTAAAGAGGCAGGCTATTTGTTCCAAAAAATTTAATTAGTCATCTATCACTCATGACCACCAAACTATTTATTAATGTGAAAGAGCAATAAGTAATAAATTTGTCTACACTGGAAAAAGAACAACATAAAACAAAATGGATTGGAAATTAATTGATTGATACTTAGGCTCTCTATCACTTGTTGACACTAATTGGTAGAAGGAGAAGAAACAGTAAGAACGTACAGCAAGTCAGAGCACCACACACAACTTAAATGTGTCCTAGTTCAGAGCATGGTGGCAGCGATACAGAGCGCAATGCTAGTCTAACAGTTTAGCCAAGGCAAGTCTCTTGACATTCTAATTAGGGAATTTTCAGCTCCAGTCTAGCAGTGATGGAGTGGGGCTCTTTATCAGGCAGGCCAGGCCACATACCTGGCAAGCTACGACACCATACCAAGCCAGATAGCCCATCCCTCTACTGCTTTGCATGAACTGAATAAATGAACGACCGGGTGTTTTGGTGGAAACCTGCCAAAGATAATGACTGCCCACAATCTGACAAAAAACAGACAAAAAAAAAAGGAGGAAATAAAGGCCAACTCAATTTCCTCTGTGAAATTTCCAACACTATACTATAATATAAATTTGTTCAATGTAAAAATGCTTCTCTGCTAGTGTTCGTGTTTGCGGTGTTGAAAAGGACAAATGGTTTCAAAACTGAGTGTCAATTTGTTCTGGTCTGCAACCATACCTCTGAGCTATCATCTTTTAGCACAATAGCTTTGAATTTTCCCTCTAAGGCTTGCTCTGACAACCTAACTGCACTCAAAACGATTAATGTACTTTAAATGTGCAAATGTAACCTTAAGAAAAACGTGTTTTTCCATAATAACAAGACAGACAAGAGACACGGGGTGAAAGAACAAGGGGTGAAGAGACTAGTAAGTGCTGACAAGTGGCTGTAATTGTAAAGTCTTATGGAGTGAGGTACGCTCTTATTAAAGCATTAAACAGCTTGTTAATTACAAAAATAGCTGCATATATGCAAATGTAAGAAGTCATAAATGCTACAGAGATGAAAACATTAAATATAACCCTTTGTCGGCAATAAAGTAAAGAAGAAGAAGGACCTATTAATCACAGGATAACCACCTTTATTTGGCCAAGTATGTTACACACAAGGAATTTGTTTCCGGTACAGAACTGAGGCAGCCATTTTGCGGCGCCAACTCGCGCCAACTCGCGCCAACTCACACCGATGGCTCTAACCATTACTGAAGTGAAAAAAGAAGACACCCCACTCCTAGAGCTTATTTGAAGAGGTCTGGCTTCTTTCAGATCCACTTGTTACATGAGAACATGGAAGTGGGGATAAAAGGCTTTCACACTCTGCCAGGTTTGAAATCAGATTCACCAAAGTTTTAAGATCATTCCTGACCTCGGAAACAGCAATTAAGGTGATCTCAAACTGGTTCACAATAAAACAATAATAATGATGAAACGCTCCAAAATATCTGCTTAAATGAATGATGTCTTCAAAGTGCTTTCTCAACATTTGAATGAAACGCCAAGAATCAACTGAAAAGAATGAAGCAAATTAGAAATCACAGTGGTAAACGTAAGAAAAAAAGTTGAAGTAAAAATAAAAAGTCCCCTATTTAAAATTCTATCTACGGATTAAAAAAAAAAAAGAATTTCTTAAAATTATGTAATGAAACCAAAAGCTCAAGAGCAGCTACTAAATGTAGCTGGTGGTGAGACCTGTATCGGTCAAGAAGTTAATGATTTATGGACTGCTATTGCAGATTAAAAGATGTTAAGAAATACCACCACAGCTCCCAGAAGTGACGCCATTGTGACACACTCGCCCCCTGGTGGCTTGCTGCAGTATTGCTCATAAATCTAGCCTCCCCCATGTTAGTGGATGGGTCATCGGCCAAACTAAAACTTGAAGTACAAGTCAGATAAATTTTTCCCAGAGGTCACTTCTGTTGTTTTTGATTAATATTATCATGCTGATGTGTGTACAAGTGGCAACTGTTCTGGTAAGATGGCTTTTAATACGTTACTTGATGATATACAAAAATTTACTTGTATTTTGGTTGATTTAACAGCTTTGATTTGTGGTCCGATGCGGTCACTCCACTTCTGGTTGCTACTAAGCAGAATCTGGGTGCAAAACACAAGATGGCGGCTGCCGTATTTCGGCTTCATTTTTGCATGGTGGAGGGAAGTGGTGACAGCATATCCAACCATACGTCAATAGCAGCAACTAATGATTAGTGTCATAATCAATGAATCTGCCAATTATTTTCTGAATTAATAATTTGGTCGGTAAAACATCACAAAAACAGTGAAAAATAAAAGTGTGAATCCCAGAGAACAATTCTACAGCCCAAGGTGACATCATCAAATGTCTTGTTTTGACTGAGCAACAGCCAAATACACAAAGATGTCCAATTTACTATTATGTAAGAAAAGAAAAAGCAGCTAATTCTCCCCACTGGGAAGTTGGAACCATCTAATTTTGTGCTTACAAATTTACTTGAATAACTAACTGAACATTTAAATAGCTGCTGACTAATTGAGAGCTTTTCTGCTGAACTGCATATCAGGGAGATCTGACGGAACTGCTGCGGGTAAAAGAGTGCATATGTGCACGTATAGGCTCATGTGTAATACCTATCAAAGTGACAACCATTATTTACATATACCCATGCATCTTTCAGCTGAAACCATTATTTCTATACATCCTTCCATCTTGAATTCTGTGCTTTCACCTCCATCTATAAACCTCTAACTGTATGGCATCTTATCTGTCTGTATGTATGTTTCTTTCATTTTTCTCCATCTGACCTTCCATTATCTGTTCTTTCATCTTTCACACTGCCAGTATTCCATACCTTCTGCTCTCCTTCAATCTATCCTTACAGCCACTTACACCAGTAATATGGCAGCTGATTAGTGTGCACAAATTACTTGACAGATCTTCATTGATCATGTTGAGGCACTGAGGACTAAAATATTTCATTCCTACTGTGAGATTTCAGTGAGTGTGCAGACATTTTATTTTAATCTTTTTTTTTTTTTTTTTTTACTAGGTTCATCTTCCTTGCTTGTAGGAACAGATAAATGCTCCATAAAATGTTTTGGCATTGTTGTGGAGGCATAGTGTGTCAGCTTTTTCCAACATATCTTAAGCTGAATTTAAAAGCAAAGCCTTTCTTGTACATTTGCCAATTCTGGGCTTTTACATACCTTTGTGCCAAGGCTTCTTGTCAACTCCCAGTCCCCTCAGTGTAATTATCTCTGACTAGTCTAAGATTTAAGATTACTGACTGTGCTGCAAAAACAAAAAATAAAATAAAAAAAAAAAAAGCAGCGGCTTACATTTCCTGCTTTGGTTTACCATTTTGTTCAGCACTAGATGAGTGAGTCATTTTTATCAATTCAAGTCCAAGGACTCCTCAGAGAGCTCCAAAGTATGACCCCTTTTTATGTCACTTCCTCTTTGATTTTCCTGCCATCACTTCTTAAATGATTTGTTTTCATCCATCACCCTTTTGTAGTGGTTCATGCATCTTTCCCACTTCTTGACCATCTTTAATTGCGTCCTCCTCCATTTCATCCATCTACGATCATCTTCCTGAGCACTCTGCTTTTCTGACTCCCACAGATTCCCAAGTTATACGTGATCATACGCTCCAGTAAGCCAATCAGGCTACACTAGTGTTCCTATTAGCCTGAGTCACTTGTTATAAGCAGAAGCACCAACTCATCACTGTTGCTCATCACACTGAAGGCCACACAAACACGCACACACAACTCTACAGTCTACATCAAGTGAGGTGTCCCAGTGCTCCAGGCCTGTGATAAATCATCTGGCCAGTTCCATTCAATCTGCCACCACTCACAGCTGCCTGCAGACGCAGAGCGGCCCTGATGCCCTGAGGCTGCTGCAAAGCCACAAATATACTCTTTACAAGCTGCAACAGCCTAAAGTGATAACACTGTGAAAATTAAGTCCATGTCTAAGCACCACATCAACTTTCTTTCCCAATTCTCTCATCTCCACTGTCTTCATATAGCACTGGCTATATTCCAGAATGTGTGGCTTTCTTTCATCTCATCCTGTTTTGATGAGTTTTTTTGTCTCCCTTCGCCCCCCCCCCCCCCCCCAGCAATTATTTGACCTCAGGCTAATCAAACTAACCAAAATGCATCAGTTGCATCATCCTTGACGTTACTGAGATACCCTCATTTCATACCACTAATTCAATGTATATGCTAATGCAAAATGCATATGAAGTTACTCAAGAGGGGGAAAAATATCAAAACTTGTTGCAAACAAAGAAACCTTATCTCACCCAGCAAAGCTGACATGTTCTGGAAAATTCTGAGTAGCTCTGGGGTGACAGCTGGGCTGTTCTCCAAAGTCACCAACCTGCATGATGACAGGGAGGGAATGAGAAAGCAGGGGAGAAGGAGAAGTAAAAAGAAGGGAGAAGAGAGTTCAGAGGAGAGAACAAAACAGAAAATGTGAGGAAGTTGTGAAAAAAGTGTAGTGCAGAAGACAGATTAAAAGGGCAAAAAGGGGAAGAGAAGTATAGTGGGACCAATCACAGAAACAGAAGGAAGACCAGAACATGGGCACCACCAAAGGTAGACAGGAAATGGTGAAAGAAAAAGAAAGGTAGAGGAAAACAACATTAGTGGCTCGGTCAGTGTCAAGACAAACGTGCTGAAGAGACATTATATAAATCGGATGACTGCTTGATTATTGTAGATGGTTTTTACATATTTTATTCTAAAATAAAAAAAGCTAATTGAATTTTGAATATTGGCCAGATTTAAGTTAAAAGACAGCTTCAAAAGTGGGTTTTTAATATTTAAATGCATAATAATCAGTTCACAAAAACAGATTTACTGATGAGCCTAGTTAAATTGATTGCCTAGTGGAAAACTGTACCTCTACATTAAAAAAAAAAAAAGACAACATTATTACACCAGGCCTCTCTTGTCATCTCTACACATACGGCAGTGGATTGTCAAAGTTATTCTAAATGATCTATTAACATACTCTAAGCTACTTTAAATGTATGTCTATAAAGACAACCTTTCCAAAATGTTACATCCATTCATTATAGAAAACACAGTGATTACAAAGCAGCAGAAAAAGGCACCTACAAGAACTCAAGATAATGAAACATCAATGACTGATTTGATTCACACTCCATGTGCTCATAGAAAAAGACCAGACAGACAGATACAGAGAGGGATGCAAAGAGAGGGGAAAAACCAGCTGATAAAAGATAAAAGCAAAGGAAAATGACATGGACTATGTTAATAAAGCAAACAAATATTTCGGGTACGGCTGTTTATCAGGCAGGATAAAGGACAGGGTAGACACATAAGGCTGTGGCTTTGTGCTACAAGCACACACAGTGTACTGAACTGTGCAGCTGTCAAAAAAAAGATTAAGAAGGGAGTTAAAAAGCAAAGAGGGAGAAGAAGAAATTGCAACTCTGGCAAATTCCCCTCTGCTAAAGCAAATCTTTTTGTGGGTGCTGTGGATGTGAAAATACTGTTTTTCACCAGAGTCTTGAGTTATCCTTACAATGGCATGTGCCCAAAACAATGACATTAGGGCAAGACTGTAAGCCACATAAATGAGCTTCATCACTCTCAGTGATTTGAGCAACACAGAAAAGGTGACACAAGAAAGAGTTAAAGACCAGTATAGACATGTGAAATTTAGCTCCCAGACCTTACCTCTAAAGCGAGCCGAGTATAGTGGAAACAAATGCAGAATCCATGACAAACATTACTCGGTGTAACACGTTTCCTAAGTTCTTATAATGGAAAACCCTCTTAAGTGCATACTAGATGTCTGACTCGGGCAGCTGTTTTCTACGGCTATGCAATCTTTTTTGCATAAGTGACAAGTATCCAGCTTTGTGTGTGAACATCGTTGAGGTCCTAAACTGAGACATATGTGCAGATTTAACTGTGAGTCACATGCATACAAGAATAACATCATTATTTGTGCAATGGTTAAACTGCACATTTTCTTCAAACACTATGATTGCAAGCTTCTCCATAAAAAACCAGTAAATGTGAAACGTCCTCCACTGGCCTCGGTTGCTGTTGTTGCTCTCTTCCTTGTTTATTTTTTACTGGTCTGTGAGATGCCAATACTGAATGATGACAACTATATGATATGTTCATGTGGAGAGGAGTGAGACAAAAAAACTAACAAACATGTATTTCAATCTGACCATCCTGGCAGCAGTTGCATAATTAGAGATTAGATACAAATACGATCTAGGACCATGGGGGCAGCAGTGGCTTGGGAGGTAGAGCATGTCATCTTCCAACCAAAAGGTTGGCGGTTGATTCCGGGCTCCTTGAGCAAGACACTGAACCCTGGGTTGCTCTGGTGACGTTACCAGTCTGTGAGTGTCAGCCAAGACAACAACCCGGTCTGTTATCTAGTGTGTCATAACTGATGGATTGTGCATACCCTGCACCGGTGGCAAAAATGCTAAGGTGAAGAGAGACAGAGGATCTATGTCCATACATGGACACAGATCTGATTAGGCTTGTTCACACATCCGAAAAAAGATGAGATCTGAGTAACTTGGCAGGAAAAAGAAAATGGATTTGAATTTGGCCTACTTCAGCATGTATTATAATGTGAACACAGCCTGAAATTTCTAAATATTAGTGTACTGTATGTGTGTGTGTGTGTGTGTACCAAAGTTCCAGTCCATCGTCCAGCAAATACACATGTGGTGGCTGGGAGACATCGGTGCTCAGCTGGATGATAGGAAGAAGGAACGGGTACAGGTTCTTACTCTCTGCTCCCAGGCCCTGTGAGAGCACACAGATTGCAAAAATAAAAACCAATTAAGAAAAACAAAAAAAAAAAAAAAAAAAAAAAAAAAAAAAAGAATACTGACAAGGGGCTTGAAAACAGTACTTTGTGCTTTAACTTAATGGGACATTCCACACAGACTAGAGCCAGGCAGTTGTACAGAAAAGTTCAAAACACGCACTGTGAGAGTACACTGTCCCCATTAGGGGCATCACTGATTAAACAGTTATCAAATTAACCGTCTTAAATAATTGAATCAATTAAAAGTACATTAACCGGCAGTGCAAAAGATAAGATACAGTGTAACTGTAAAAATAATGTACAGTAATTTGCTGTAGTACCTAGTTGCACCACTGGGGGGCTGATCCACTCGCATCACAACATAATCAGGTGTATAAGCAACATCCAACTGCTTTGGGTATAGAGCCATTTTACCAGAGGTAATAAAGACTGTGCTTAAATCACAATGCTTTGTGTAGAACAAAACAGTTCAGATACTGTTACTTATATGTACATACAGTATTAATTCAATCATTATTTTTTCATTTTCTAGTCTTGTGGTTCCTTTTCATAATAGTTTTTTAAAATAATTTTCTTTCAGTGCTGAACACCAGCACTTAAAGTTACCAAGTGTAGCACTGACAACCATATTTAGCCTAACTTGTGAATTATGCTCTCCAAATTACCATTTTCTTTTGAAACCTCACTTCCATCTTGTTTACACATACCCTCAAACTTGTCTTCTGATGAAAATTTAACAACTGTCTGACACTGTGCACTTTCAAAGCACCCCGTCACCTCGGGTTTTAACCAGTCACCTTGAATATTCACAGAGACACTAACAAGGGAACGTGGGAGAGGGTAATGAGGAGAAAATGCTCATGGTGCACGTGTGTGTGTGTGTGTGGTGGTGGTAGTGAGCGAATTAATCTGTCTGAAGGAGGATCCAAAGTAGTGCTTCAGAATTGCCAACATTGTTTCACTGATGGCGTGACATTAATTTGGTCTAAATATGCTCCCTCCTGCATCTGTGTGGGAATTAAAGAGAGAAAGCCAAGCTTAATCCCCTCTTGGCATGACCCTGTCTACTCATCACAAGCAACAAGTAATTAAGTTTCTTGCAGGCAAAGTTCATTTTCTAAGTTTGAAAACAAGAGAGCCAATATGCCAGCTCTTATGAGCTTAAGAGTTGAGTTAATGCCATCTGATCATTTACAGGTCTGTCTGGGGTATGCTACTCCCACAGGGGCTAAAGTCATTCAGCAGGGTCTCATCTGCACCCTGCCATGAGAAGGCTGGTGCTCCACTGTTACTGGGTCTCACAAACCATCTTTTGTTTCAAACACTGTCGCATCAACAGGTCTTTCGCTGGGCACTAACCTAAGTATTCAAGAGTACACAAAATCTACAGGCATATTGATGACTTTGTAGTAAAATCATTAAAAATACAACTGAGTTTTAGTTTTTGCTCACCTACATTTGACCCTTTTTTAACACTCTCTCAAAATATTTTTAACTTGAAGCAATGCTTATTTGTGTGTTCAGTTGGGAGATAATCACATCTAAACCAATCCATTCATGAAAAGTATGTCCACAATGTATGCACAATGCAAGAGGTGTGGTAGAACTAATTTGAAGCAAGCGGAACTCAAGTAAACCAATTACTTTTTTCTTTTGTTAATGTCAGCATTATACTGCATATAATACAACTTCAATTAGTATGCGACAACACAGTTCGCTAATCCAAGCCCCTTCAGCTGTACACCCTCAGTGCACCATACAATTTGCCAGATGTGTACTTGCATTACTCCCTCAAAGCGAGTGTGTATGACTGAGCATTTCATGTCCCACTGGGATATAATGCTGCAGAGGCCACATAGGGGTCCAACTCTTTTTCCAGGCTTTTTCACTGCTGTGAGGAATGGAGCTTCTGTATATTTGTTGCTATCTTAACCACTAATCCATTAATTAAGTTAAACCTCTTGGTAATAGCTTTCTTCTACTGTTTCACACATTTAATTCCTATAATTTTGTTAATAGGCTCTTTTATTGTGATCCCGAGAGAGACGAGAGCTGACTTGCAGAAAAACCAAGGTAAGCCAGCCAAATTTGTGCTGTGGATCAAACGGATGAGTGGTGAGTTTGGTGAGGCAGCTGATACAGTACCTTTCTATCTGACACCAACTACATGGAAAGACTGGCTTAACACTGTGTCCCCTTCACAGATGATTAAAACAGAAATAAAATTATAAATTAGTTTACAAAATTCTAAACACTTTTGAAGTTTTACAGCCACTAGCTGAATTACATTTGCATTTATAGTAAGCAGTTTACCGTTTAATTTTGTCTACTATTTTATTTAAGTGGTACAGGTGTTAAGAGTGAAATGCATACAGTGGATACGGAAAGTATTCAGACCCCCTTAAATCTTTCACTCTGTTATATTGCAGCCATATGCTAAAATCATTTAAGTTCATTTTTTTCCTCATTAATGTACACACAGCACCCCATATTGAATTTGACATTTTTGCAGATTTATTAAAAAAGAAAAATTGAAATATCACATGGTCATAAGTATTCAGACCCTTTGCTCAGTATTTAGTAGAAGCACCCTTTTGAGCTAATACAGCCAAGAGTCTTTTCGGGAATGATGCAACAAGTTTTTCACACCTGCATTTGGGGATCCTCTGCCATTCCTCCTTGCAGATCCTCTCCAGTTCTGTCAGGTTGGATGGTAAACGTTGGTGGACAGCCATTTTCAGGTCTCTCCAGAGATGCTCAATTGGGTTTAAGTCAGGGCTCTGGCTGGGCCATTCAAGAACAGTCACGGAGTTGTTGTGAAACCACTCCTTCGTTATTTTAGCTGTGTGCTTAGGGTCATTGTCTTGTTGGAAGGTGAACCTTCGGCCCAGTCTGAGGTCCCGAGCACTCTGGAGAAGGTTTTCGTCCAGGATATCCCTGTACTTGGCCGCATTCATCCTTCCCTCGATTGCAACCAGTCGTC